AGGCGGCAAGCGATAGGCTGCAAATCATCAGGAACAAGATTATGAAAGAGCTGAAGTTAGCACATGAAAGGAGTAAAAAGGTTTATAATACTAGAAGTAGGGATATAAAATTCCAGATCGGACAAGTGGTATATCGCCGAAACTTCAAACAAAGCTCGAAGATTGAAAATTACAATGCCAAGCTAGCCCCGAAACAGATAAAATGTATCGTTCTAAAGGTTATCGGGAACTCTATGTACGAGCTTGGCGATATCAGCGGGAAGAGGATCGGCGTATACCACGCTAAAGACATCTTTGCTAAGTAGGTTTATGTTATATGTAGCCTATGTGGCATGTTGCATGTTGGATGTCAGGTGCGTGTGCTAAATGTTTTATGTTACCTATACAATAGACTTTTATTTATATCCAAAATTTTATTGAGACCTGACTGCAGTATTTATTTATTGATTTGTCCGCGCAATTATTTAATTATTTATTACAACACTTGACTATTTTTGTGATTATTTCATTATTTATACACTTTTATTTATTTATTTATTTTTCTTAAGATTTATTTATTTATATATATTTAGTTATAATACACCATAACTGTGGTATGTTTGTTTTATTTTTTTTCTGTGATATTACTTAATTCATATTTTTTATTGGTTTTTTACATCTGTGATATTCATTTAACCATTTATGTAATTATTTAGCTCTTTCCCCTGTGATATAGCGTAATAGATAGATATTATAATACAATAGAAGTAGACCTGTGATATCGTCTTTACATGTATAATTATGCCCAGTGACAAGTGATTATGAGTGCCCGGCTTTAGGTCGTGGGTCGGGGCCACACGCTGGGCGGAAATAAGACCTTGCAGCTAGCCGCGTTAAGAATCTTTTACGCACACGCTCCATGATGCAGGCACCATCGACGGGTCCGAGCCCGTAGCGCCAGCTGTTTGCGAGATACTCCTGTGCGTGCGTGTGTGTGTGCGTGAAGTGGACCAAACCTAAGTCAATCAGACAACAATGTTAATTGAGCATAGTGGTGTGTGTATGTGGGTACAGGGTCGAACATAGGTAGTTCAACCAAACGGCAATGTTAAATAAGTGTAGATGTGGGAGAGTAAAAGTATGTGATCGAACCTGTTTCGTCAAACGTCAACGTAAACAACATGATGCCCAGACAAAGTTCGGAGACTCCGATAAAACAAAATCAAGAGTGTATGTGGGTGTGAATGTCTGCTCCTAACAGCGTTTTTCCTTTGTTTTTGTTAACTTTCCCCTGTACGCAAGAACTTGTGTAAGTATGTATGTGCATAATTCCGATTGAGCCAGTTAGTCTGACAAAGGGTATAAAATGACCCCAATGATGATGAACGGGTCATATGCGAATGTTACGGGGTGTCGTGGAGTAGAGCGAGTGCTTTAAGTGCAAAAAGTGAAGTGGTGTTATACTTAGCAAAAAAAAATTAAAAAAATAAAAAAAAAATTAAAATATACTAACTTTTAATAAATGTACATACTCATCAATGTATACAGAGTGATTTGTGCGTATTTTTTACGACACGTCACGGCATCGGTGAGCGCAAAGCCGCAACCTAGTGCTAATTTTGGACCGGGAGGTAAGTACTGCATAATCTCTAAGATTCCTCAAATCTGCATGGATACATACAGCTGATTGGTAACACCGGCTTATGTTCACACGTAGACGAAAGGCAAATTACTAAGATCATCTCAAATGCATAACTACTACGATAGACAATCCACTAAACGTTTTTTTCTTGCTTTATAGGTCGCCTGTAAATTTGTATGCCTCACCCATCGGATATCTGGAAATAGCTACCTACACACAGACGCATCTTGCCACATAGTTGGGAGGCACTCGCACAAGTCGGACCCACCGTCGTGCATAAACTCACGCCACCGATCATTTCCAGCAGTCAAACACACGCCCACACGCAGCAGCAATAGATATGTACATTGCCACAAACATTTAAAGAACGTACGCGGCAAGTAGTTCTGAGCACACAAACACACAACACCCGACACACATTTATCTTATTGGACACCAGCAACATACACATCAGCGCGCAAACACACACAACTGGAGAAATTGTCGGCGGAAGCCCATGTACGAGTAAGTTCTCTCCAGAGTCCCGTCTTGGCTAAGATCGCGGCCTTCCGGGGCCTACCCCATCGACGCCAACACAGCAACACAAACATAAGCACACAATCAGCTGGTACAGGTATATAGCGCAGGTCAGAGCAACGACCGCGATTCCATATATATACATACGTGCATACGGTGGAGCAAACGTACCTATGTACATATCGGGGTAAATAAGTATATAGAGCAACAAAGGTAGCAGAGTGGAACGCGAGAGCTTGGAAGCACCCGAAAGTGGACGCTAATTAGAGCCAGAGAGCAGCGGAGCGGATCCACCACATCAGCGACGCCAAACCTTGCCAGCGTCGACGTCAGCCATCACCGCCGCCAGGAGCAGAGCGGTTGGCATGCGATAGGCCAGGGTTTCCTTCACGAAAGACTTTCATTTTTGTTCATCACTATGTTTTTTTTGTGCTCAACCCGGTCTAGTTTTAAGTACAAGTATACATATATTTTTTTTTGGTAAATTTACGGCATACGGGTGTTAGCATATGTTTGTAGATTAGCAGAGTTTTGCCTTCGCGGAGCTTGTTTATTTAAATTTTCTTGTTGAATTTCCTACCTTAGGTATTTCCACGTTTTCACTCCTTCTTCCGGTTTTTATGATTAATTTTCACATGCTGTTAATTCCTCTGTTCTTTTAACACGCGAAAATTTCTTCTGTTAGTATAGATAGGGGTTTTTTTTTTAGGGGATTTGGGTGTCCGCGCATATTTCATAAAAATTCACTCGACATTATTTGTATCGGTATCACGCCTTTAATGAACACTTTGAGAAGAAAATTCGATTTCACGTGATCTATTTTCATTGCGTTTTGGGTTTTTTTTCTGTCTTTTTCGGGCACATCCGTATGCTAAATTTCGTTTTTTTTTTTCATTTTTCTGCTTAAGTTTTGGTTGACCCGCTCGATACCCGCCACCACGAGCGAATGAATCGAGCTGGGCTAACATCAAAATCTCAGTACTTCAGTGTGGGCATAGGAATGTATGTACACATAAATATATGTAAATTTTGTAGTTAAGCTCTCCCCCACACAGGTTCTCATCAGCGGGCTGGTACCAACGTCGCTGGAGTGACCAGGTGAGTGCACTTCTTTTTTTTGCTTGTTATTGCATATGTGCATACAAACATATATATTTGCGTACATAATTGCCTGCATATGAATTTCTGAATTGGCGTGTCTGCATGTATGTACATACTGATTCATATATATTTATATGTATTACCTAGGCTTAGTTTGAGCCTGAAAGTGCGTTTTCTTGGATATTTACTCATTTGGTATATACATACATACAGACGCATATGTTCAATTGATCGTAGACCTATACATGTAGGTTTATTGCCATTGGAAGCTAACATTAGGGTACACATGTTTTATTTTTATATTTAATATTTATAATTTTTTTGTTTTCACAACATTGTTTTTTTATTGTATAAGAGTTTGGAAGAAGCATGAATAGGAGTTTGAATAAGAGAAGGTTTTTTTTCTTTATGGATTATTTGGTAATAGGTTTGCATTTTATTTCCTTTGTTATATGGTTAGTTTGCGGAAAGCGCTTATATTTAATATAGGTGTAATTAAGTAAGAGTAAGTACGAATTGTTAGTTTAGTAATATTAGAAATAAAGGAAAGGAAATAATACACTTCCAAGTGCATATAAATGAATTCGCAATTGTCATATCTTACTAGGTGAAGGACACATAAAAGCATATGGAGGGCTAAATTTGTTGTTAGTTTGGTGTGGGTGTTGCGCTAGTGCAACAGAGGGGACGCGGGGTATGGACGCATGACAATGACACCGAGGGGACATTGACTGACCGCTAATTGACATACTGACTGTCAGGTTTAGGGGGCGCTGCTAAAGAAGAGGAGTCGCAGCGGCGCCCAAGGCTTCGTGGAGTTCACGTAGAAGGGGTGGGAGGCATGACTCAAATTTTGTTCATGTTGCTAGAAGGCAAGGCAGGTAGCAAGGACCTCCCCGGACCGTCGGGCAAGTTTGGGCCTGCAAGCATGCCTGCATGCCGCCTCGTCTTGCCCAACCATGTAGTGACATAACACGTTGACTGAAAACCAAATGTTAGACCTTCTGAAAGAGTTTTCAGATCTCGACGATGAATCGGGAGGTGATGAGATCGATTCAGTGGAATTTACTAGTAAGAAGCGAATTGAAGATGAGGGGGCTCAAAATTACGACACCAGCACTGAGGAAAATGTGGAGGAACGTGATTTGAGTCCAATAAATGAACTTCCACCAGCTGTTCGTGCACACGTTACGACTTTTTCCCTCCCTCAACAAAGAGCGAAGAAAATGTTGCACAAAATTCATATTTCTCCGTCAGAGTATTGCGTTCAATAGCAGGTGAGAGAGTAAGTACACCAATAGAAGCAGCAGAAGGAAACTATGATTTGGCAAATATTACTGAGAAAATCGATGTTCAGTGGCGCCATTCCCGCAGTAATAATCGAATTGCTAATTTTTTGTTAGTTCCGCCTGTACAGTTGCCTACAGCAGTCAAAAGTGAATACGAATATTTTCAAAAATATTTACCGCCCCAATTTTTTGAAGATGTTTCCAATTTCACTAATCTGTATAGTGTGCAGAAAGAATCAAATTTTCAGCCAACTAGTCCAAGAGAAATTCGGCAATTCTTCGCTTTACATTGTATGATGGGTATATTGAAGTTTCCACGGGTAGCAATGGTCTGGGAGAAAGGTACAGCGTTGCCAATTTTCACTAGTAATATGACAAGAAATCGTTTTTATGCGCTACGAACACATTTGCATTTAGTGGATACTTGTCTTCCCCCAAAAAACAATGACAAATTTCATCGAGTGAGACCAATTATGGATGCGATTCGGAAGCGATTATTGGAGCACCAGTTGAAGGAAACTCTTTGCGTTGACGAACAGATTATACCATTTACAGGGCGCATGGGAATGAAGCAGTATATACGTGGTAAACCTTGTCCATGGGGAATAAAACTCTATGTGCTTTGTGGAAAAAGTGGAATGCTGTATGATTTCATTGCTTATCAGGGCTCATCCACTGAAATTGAACCAAGCCTTATCAATAAACATGGTTTTGGTGCTTCCATCACATTACAGCTGCTAAAACGAGTGCCCCAAGATTCAACTGGTCACCAAGTTTACACAGATAATTTCTTCACCGCGTATTCTCTACTTGAAATTTTGGGGAAAAGGAAAATTCTAGCAGCTGGCACAATACAGATGCTGTAATATGAAAGAAAGGTCGCGGCTGTGCTGAACAAGTGGTGAGCCGAGATGGAAAAGTTATTGTCACAAAATGGTTCGACAACAAAGGAGTTTACTTAGCATCCAACTTTGTGGGAATTGGCATCAAAGACAAAGTAGAACGATACGAGAAAAAAGAAAAGCGGTATATTGAGATTGATAGACCTGAAGTTGTGCAGCTTTATAATAATGGAATGGGTGGCGTAGATCTTCTTGATCAAATGTTGCAGCATTACCGTATTTTCATAAAATCTAAAAAGTGGACCCCACGCGTTATTATTCATTTCTTTGACATGGCAATAGTGGCGAGTTGGTTCGAGTATAAAGCGGATGCAGATAGAAATGATATACCTAAGAAAGACCAAATGGACTTACTTGTCTTTAGAAAAGGATTGGCTAATACTCTTGAAACAATTTCTTCAACATTTCAAAATGAAAACCGACGGGGTCGTTCCTCAAATACCTTTAGCGAAGATGAGCAGCAAGCTCCTAAAAGATTGAAGTACTTCAACCAACCACCAACTGTACATATATGTGTATTCGATATAAAAAATTGCCAAAAATCAACGGGAAGCCTTAGCTACTTCATATTTATATTTTATTGTACTAAAATTAAATGGTCAACAAAACTGCATACCATTTTTTATAAAGATGCTGATTAAAAAGTTTGAAATTTTGGTGAAATTTTGCAGAATTTTAATAATTTTTCCACAAAGTCAGAAATTTGGATTTATATGGTGTTTGTTAAGTAATCAGTTTTGCTGTCATAGAAAAATAATAAAAATTAAAAAAAAAAACTAAAGGAAAATAGCCAAAACTTGCCCAAATGTCGCGTCCCAGTTTTTGTTTGGGTCACTGGTATATAATTCAGATGAACGTAGTTTTTCGTACATAAGGGTAAGAATGCAAGCAAAAACGTTCTCTGAGCTAAAATTCTTTAATTTTTGTAATTAAATAGACATAACTTCTTAACTATTGTAGTGATGTCTATAATATTGAGGTGACCAGAATTTTTTTACATTCCAGGAGGACGAATTCTCCACATTGAAACACATAAATAACGAATAAATTAACAATTCAAAGTTTCTCAAAGCACAATTCAAACGATTTAATAGTACACTGTGTTACATAATTATAAGACCGCCACATATTAACAAGTTTTGACTATTTCTTTTTAAATTATTTAATTGTCGTTGTATTACTTGCAAAAGAAATTGCTTGTTCTTCGTATTTCGTCAAAGTTTAACTATAATTTTGTATCAACGCTATATCTCGTTCAGTAATATCATAAACATATTTAATACTCTTAAACGTCTCTAAGACAATCAACTTCAGGGTCAGCTTTTAGAGAATTTTATATCCTACAAGAATATGCCCAGAAAAAACGTATATCCCTTCTTTATAACGGTTCAAAAGTTATAACATTTCAAATGAAAATTAATTTTTTTACATGTTATTTACATATAAAATTTCAAATGCCCACCGACACTTTTTAAAACTTAAATAAAAATTTTTTAAATGGGAGAATCTCCTTCTCAGTAAAAAGGCCATAAATTCGCTAGGTTAGTTATTTTGGATCACCCTAATATATATATATACAAGAATTCCTCGTTTAAAGAAATAAGTATAAGGGGGAAACTTTTCCGGAAAAACACCCCAAAAATAATCTGAATCCGCCGCTGAGCCTGTGCTATTTTTGGTTATGTACTTGAACATGAAATAACACATTTTCTTAAAATTTGTTAGGCATGTTTGCGCTCCAATGCAACGAATATATCAAGATAAAAACTTGCCCTCTCACAAGTATTGCCACTGATAAAACTTATACACATTTGGCAAACAAAATGCCATGTGATAGGCAATAATTTTCGCCTGTGAAGACGTGTCGTAATACGGCTTCCCCACGCCACCGTGAATTACTTTGAAGGCTCCTCCAATTACCATCGCGAATTCCCCCATTCTCACGGGCATATTAGGAGCGTTCCTTATCTCCCAGAAATAGTCAGAAAAAGTCCGAAGTAGTCAGATTTAGTCCAAAAAGCGTTCCTTAACTCGGAAATGACAGCAAAAATGAGAGAGCAACACTCAGTGAGAGTGACTCTCATCAGTCCGAAGGAGTCAGATTTAGTCAGAAGAATTTTTTCTGGCAAAATCCTGAACAGTGTCAAACTCAACTGAATATAAATTAACGGAAATTAAAGAATACGTAAAAAGTGAGAATAATCTAAAAAGTAAAAAAAGTGAATTGAAATTGGAAGGAGGCAAAAAATAATTTGATATAGTAAGTGTTTATTGTGCTTGTGCTTGTGTGAATGTGTTTTGTACATACATTTCCATTCTTATTTGACGTTAGCTTTGTTGTTGCCATTCTTTGGACTAAAAATTTGGTTTTTTGCGTTCCTTTACTTTTCCTGTTATTCTCTTTTAGTGAGCGCATTTTGCTTACGCTCTGGCATTTTGACACTTTTCAGATTTTAGTCCAAAAAGATAAGGAATGAACCTATTATTAATTCGATTTGACAGTTCTATATCTCTGTGTTTTGTTTTTTTTTTCTTCGCTACAAAATTTATGCAAAATGTAAGTTATTGCTTAAAATGTATAAGCTTCCGTATTTAATTGGTGATGTACACATGTAAAGCTTTACTTTTCGTACTCAGAAAAAGTTCCAGTTTTGATTTGTGAACTGGTTTCGATAAATTTCCGATAAAAATTAGTCACGGCAGCGATTTCTTCGCAATTCACATGGTAATTGGAGTGCGAGTTATGAATGAGAGAGCGAACTACGTAATTGGAGTGCCGTGGGAAAGCCGTATTAAATATTGTTGATTAAGGCTAAAAGGCGTTTACACTGTTCAACTTACACAGACGGTTAGTTGAATCAAAAGTTTACATCATTTAACTAAGAGTTGAACAATGTAAACGCCTTTTAAATATAACGATTATGTACGATTAGGAAATATGTAATAATATTCTCATTGAAATTTTTTTTAAATATCATCACTGCATCCACTTATATACTTGAAAAGGACAATCCTCATCAAAGGAAACATAGCTGTTAATACATAATAAGAAATTCGAATTGGAAACATATTAAATAAAGACACATATTTACTTTACTTTACTTTCACTTTTTCAGACTTTACTTTTCCCAATAACTTTTGAAATTTTTAATTTGCCTAATTTCTAATAATTTTATTTATTTATAGCAGCATTGCTTAAGTTGTTGTTTTTGATAACTTATTTGTTGGTTAATGACTGCAAATATCTTTAAATAAATACAGATTTCTACCAATTTAGAAACCAGAAATAAAACATTCATAAAAAATAAAATGCATATGCATATAGATTTAAAAAGCTCTTTAAATACAAAAGTTTTATAAAAATGTCACATTACACAACTGTTTAAATCTACGTTACTTTTAACTTTCTATAAATAAGGCCGTAAACATTTCTTTACATCCTCAATTTCCATATTCTATTTTTACTCTTTCAATTTCACTGACCAACGCCGAAAACAATATCAACTAGTAGGCTAACAACCAGAAATGAAAAATACGCAAGTACTTACAGTACTACATGTATACAGAAAGTAGAATTGCTACTCCCTTTTGGCAGTAGCAAATATCTCTCGTACGCGAAGAGAGCAAATAGTGTACGTACAGTTTTGGTACATACCCCGTCAAATTTGTTTTTTTGCGTCACCCGAAATTGGCTTGCGTGCGTTTGCATTTGATTTCATCGCAGAACAAAAATTGGAAATTGAGTTAGCTTCATACGCACGCCGCTCAATTTCACTTGGCCCCATACAACTTGTACGTGCGTGAGAAATTTTTGACAGCAGATCGGCGGCGTGCGTGAATATTAGGTAAGCCTGTTACTTTGGTGGAGTAATAGCAACAGTGTTGCCGCAAAAAAATTACTAAATTCCTCAAAAACAAATAAACAAACAAATTACTCAAAGTTTTCTTTTTGCAGATATGAGTATTGTGTACTGCTTACAATTTACAGGTACTTAATATAAAAATTAATTACGTTCTGCAATTCAATTGGTACAATTTTTCTTGCGTTTCAAACAAAGTATCACCGTTGTTTTGTATGCCTTGGTTAGTACAGTATATTTTGCTTAGCTGCACATCCTTCTTTGCACGAAAAACTTGTGCACCTAACCGAAAAAGGCACTTAAGCGAATTTTCTTTACTACTTCAATGAGGAAGGTATCCGAATCCCTACGAAACCAAATAATGGAGAAGCACTTATCACGTAGAAAATAATGCAAGCGAAATTTTTTTCGAATGGTATCTTATTATCTATATAACTACATAAATTGATAGCCATTTTCGTTGTTCTGCGATATGAGCAAAATAAATAAAAGCTTGTAGGTAATTATAGGGCCAGTGCAGGTAAACGTAATACTTTCTTTGACAATTGATACTAGTTGCACAATTTTTAAGGCAGGTATCGCCAATGGGCAGGTATGTTGAATGCATATATCGAAGCACTTTCCTTATAAATGTTAAAAATAATGTCTCAGATGCGCATTTTGGGTAGGTATCTTAAATGTGCACTTAAGCATAAAGGCAGCAAAGCAAAATATACTGTATATAATATTGCTGCAACTATATCAGTGCTCAATCTGGCCCTCAAGTCAGTCCTACACATTTTCAAACTACTAAGTATACGTTCTACTGAAGCATTAGAAAAGGGCTATATTAGAAATGCAGATATACCTTTTTTAATTGGGAAACTTATATGAACCTGAAGAATCTTTTAATTCAAAAACTTTTTTCCTATAATTTACCGGATGTAATGAAGAATCAAAGAAAAAATCGGCCGCTTCCACTGCGCAGCACCTGGTTTCAAACACTGGCCAAAGCAAAAGCGCAAAATATATAAAAAAAAAAGATTTTTTCTTAACAGCGGTCATCCCTCGGCAGGCAATGGCAAACTTCCGAGTGTATTTCTGTCATGAAAAACAGCTTCACATAAAAAATACAATCGCCGTTCGGAGTCGGCATTAAACTGTAGGTCCCTCCGCTTTGTGTGACAACATCTAAGCGCACGCCGCAAATCGGAGGAGAAGCTGGCCAAACACTAACATATGTGTAAGCGCCAATCTATTATTATTATTAATGAAAAATCAATATGAATAATCTTATGATGGAACAATGCGTGTTGTCTGCATTCGTTACCGAGATTTTGCAAGTTCTAAATACATAAGTTGAAAATATAACGATGGAATGAAAAAAAATTTCGATAACATTTTGAATATTTAGCAGTAAATGCAGATGTGCTTAAGAGTGAAAAACACCACACAAGGACGCAAGAGAGAAAAATCGAAGAAAACCGAACCCTTTTACATTGTGCACCGAAAGAAAGCTAAAATTCTTTGCTTGAACGAGTCATGTTACCACGGTGTATGGCAAAATGGGAAAAGTAGGTTTGAAGAATGTTTGACAAGCCGCTTGTGTGGCGTATTTCGCTCTTTATACAACTACTATATAACTATACAAATTTCAAATGCCCACCGACACTTTTTAAAACTTAAATAAAAATTTTTTAAATGGGAGAATCTCCTTCTCAGTAAAAAGGCCATAAATTCGCTAGGCTAGTTATTTTGGATCACCCTAATATATATATATACAAGAATTCCTCGTTTAAAGAAATAAGTATAAGGGGGAAACTTTTCCGGAAAAACACCCCAAAAATAATCTGAATCCGCCGCTGAGCCTGTGCTATTTTTGGTTATGTACTTGAACATGAAATAACACATTTTCTTAAAATTTGTTAGGCATGTTTGCGCTCCAATGCAACGAATATATCAAGATAAAAACTTGCCCTCTCACAAGTATTGCCACTGATAAAACTTATACACATTTGGCAAACAAAATGCCATGTGATAGGCAATAATTTTCGCCTGTGAAGACGTGTCGTAATACGGCTTCCCCACGCCACCGTGAATTACTTTGAAGGCTCCTCCAATTACCATCGCGAATTCCCCCATTCTCACGGGCATATTAGGAGCGTTCCTTATCTCCCAGAAATAGTCAGAAAAAGTCCGAAGTAGTCAGATTTAGTCCAAAAAGCGTTCCTTAACTCGGAAATGACAGCAAAAATGAGAGAGCAACACTCAGTGAGAGTGACTCTCATCAGTCCGAAGGAGTCAGATTTAGTCAGAAGAATTTTTTCTGGCAAAATCCTGAACAGTGTCAAACTCAACTGAATATAAATTAACGGAAATTAAAGAATACGTAAAAAGTGAGAATAATCTAAAAAGTAAAAAAAGTGAATTGAAATTGGAAGGAGGCAAAAAATAATTTGATATAGTAAGTGTTTATTGTGCTTGTGCTTGTGTGAATGTGTTTTGTACATACATTTCCATTCTTATTTGACGTTAGCTTTGTTGTTGCCATTCTTTGGACTAAAAATTTGGTTTTTTGCGTTCCTTTACTTTTCCTGTTATTCTCTTTTAGTGAGCGCATTTTGCTTACGCTCTGGCATTTTGACACTTTTCAGATTTTAGTCCAAAAAGATAAGGAATGAACCTATTATTAATTCGATTTGACAGTTCTATATCTCTGTGTTTTGTTTTTTTTTTCTTCGCTACAAAATTTATGCAAAATGTAAGTTATTGCTTAAAATGTATAAGCTTCCGTATTTAATTGGTGATGTACACATGTAAAGCTTTACTTTTCGTACTCAGAAAAAGTTCCAGTTTTGATTTGTGAACTGGTTTCGATAAATTTCCGATAAAAATTAGTCACGGCAGCGATTTCTTCGCAATTCACATGGTAATTGGAGTGCGAGTTATGAATGAGAGAGCGAACTACGTAATTGGAGTGCCGTGGGAAAGCCGTATTAAATATTGTTGATTAAGGCTAAAAGGCGTTTACACTGTTCAACTTACACAGACGGTTAGTTGAATCAAAAGTTTACATCATTTAACTAAGAGTTGAACAATGTAAACGCCTTTTAAATATAACGATTATGTACGATTAGGAAATATGTAATAATATTCTCATTGAAATTTTTTTTAAATATCATCACTGCATCCACTTATATACTTGAAAAGGACAATCCTCATCAAAGGAAACATAGCTGTTAATACATAATAAGAAATTCGAATTGGAAACATATTAAATAAAGACACATATTTACTTTACTTTACTTTCACTTTTTCAGACTTTACTTTTCCCAATAACTTTTGAAATTTTTAATTTGCCTAATTTCTAATAATTTTATTTATTTATAGCAGCATTGCTTAAGTTGTTGTTTTTGATAACTTATTTGTTGGTTAATGACTGCAAATATCTTTAAATAAATACAGATTTCTACCAATTTAGAAACCAGAAATAAAACATTCATAAAAAATAAAATGCATATGCATATAGATTTAAAAAGCTCTTTAAATACAAAAGTTTTATAAAAATGTCACATTACACAACTGTTTAAATCTACGTTACTTTTAACTTTCTATAAATAAGGCCGTAAACATTTCTTTACATCCTCAATTTCCATATTCTATTTTTACTCTTTCAATTTCACTGACCAACGCCGAAAACAATATCAACTAGTAGGCTAACAACCAGAAATGAAAAATACGCAAGTACTTACAGTACTACATGTATACAGAAAGTAGAATTGCTACTCCCTTTTGGCAGTAGCAAATATCTCTCGTACGCGAAGAGAGCAAATAGTGTACGTACAGTTTTGGTACATACCCCGTCAAATTTGTTTTTTTGCGTCACCCGAAATTGGCTTGCGTGCGTTTGCATTTGATTTCATCGCAGAACAAAAATTGGAAATTGAGTTAGCTTCATACGCACGCCGCTCAATTTCACTTGGCCCCATACAACTTGTACGTGCGTGAGAAATTTTTGACAGCAGATCGGCGGCGTGCGTGAATATTAGGTAAGCCTGTTACTTTGGTGGAGTAATAGCAACAGTGTTGCCGCAAAAAAATTACTAAATTCCTCAAAAACAAATAAACAAACAAATTACTCAAAGTTTTCTTTTTGCAGATATGAGTATTGTGTACTGCTTACAATTTACAGGTACTTAATATAAAAATTAATTACGTTCTGCAATTCAATTGGTACAATTTTTCTTGCGTTTCAAACAAAGTATCACCGTTGTTTTGTATGCCTTGGTTAGTACAGTATATTTTGCTTAGCTGCACATCCTTCTTTGCACGAAAAACTTGTGCACCTAACCGAAAAAGGCACTTAAGCGAATTTTCTTTACTACTTCAATGAGGAAGGTATCCGAATCCCTACGAAACCAAATAATGGAGAAGCACTTATCACGTAGAAAATAATGCAAGCGAAATTTTTTTCGAATGGTATCTTATTATCTATATAACTACATAAATTGATAGCCATTTTCGTTGTTCTGCGATATGAGCAAAATAAATAAAAGCTTGTAGGTAATTATAGGGCCAGTGCAGGTAAACGTAATACTTTCTTTGACAATTGATACTAGTTGCACAATTTTTAAGGCAGGTATCGCCAATGGGCAGGTATGTTGAATGCATATATCGAAGCACTTTCCTTATAAATGTTAAAAATAATGTCTCAGATGCGCATTTTGGGTAGGTATCTTAAATGTGCACTTAAGCATAAAGGCAGCAAAGCAAAATATACTGTATATAATATTGCTGCAACTATATCAGTGCTCAATCTGGCCCTCAAGTCAGTCCTACACATTTTCAAACTACTAAGTATACGTTCTACTGAAGCATTAGAAAAGGGCTATATTAGAAATGCAGATATACCTTTTTTAATTGGGAAACTTATATGAACCTGAAGAATCTTTTAATTCAAAAACTTTTTTCCTATAATTTACCGGATGTAATGAAGAATCAAAGAAAAAATCGGCCGCTTCCACTGCGCAGCACCTGGTTTCAAACACTGGCCAAAGCAAAAGCGCAAAATATATAAAAAAAAAAGATTTTTTCTTAACAGCGGTCATCCCTCGGCAGGCAATGGCAAACTTCCGAGTGTATTTCTGTCATGAAAAACAGCTTCACATAAAAAATACAATCGCCGTTCGGAGTCGGCATTAAACTGTAGGTCCCTCCGCTTTGTGTGACAACATCTAAGCGCACGCCGCAAATCGGAGGAGAAGCTGGCCAAACACTAACATATGTGTAAGCGCCAATCTATTATTATTATTAATGAAAAATCAATATGAATAATCTTATGATGGAACAATGCGTGTTGTCTGCATTCGTTACCGAGATTTTGCAAGTTCTAAATACATAAGTTGAAAATATAACGATGGAATGAAAAAAAATTATCGATAACATTTTGAATATTTAGCAGTAAATGCAGATGTGCTTAAGAGTGAAAAACACCACACAAGGACGCAAGAGAGAAAAATCGAAGAAAACCGAACCCTTTTACATTGTGCACCGAAAGAAAGCTAAAATTCTTTGCTTGAACGAGTCATGTTACCACGGTGTATGGCAAAATGGGAAAAGTAGGTTTGAAGAATGTTTGACAAGCCGCTTGTGTGGCGTATTTCGCTCTTTATACAACTACGAAAATCTTTTTGTTCAAAAATTTGCATAGCGATTTGACAATTCTCTTGTTTAAAACATAGTTGCTTTTGTTATTTGAAAATATATCGAGAAAAACTTCCTCAAAATAAAAATCCTCAAGCGCACCCGAAATTCCTCACGTTTTGAGGAATTACTCACAAAGTGGCAACACTGAATAGCAAGTATTTTGCTCTCTCAACGCCAAGTAGTGTATTTATGCGGAAAAATAGTAACAATGTGTTGTCAGTAGAGTACAATGCAAAGAGTACTTACTGAACGTAATGCGGTAAATATACTTGCGCTGGCCTTTAATAAATGAATGTTATCTTTTTTTGCGTTTTCTGGTTGCACCACGCTCGCCGCGAGACCGCGCGGCAAGCGGCATGAAAGCAAAAGCACACGTGGCAGGAGCGAAAAAGAGACTAGCGACTCCGTGCAAGTTTTCGTGCTTTTTTTTTTAAATAGTGTACTACACCGTTCGACAAAAACCAAAAATTTTCAAAACACACGAAAAAATCAATATGTATATTCACAAAACTAGGAGCCAAATATACTATAACTGCGCTTTTAATTTTTTTCTCTGACCTCAGGATTTTTTTTAAGGACTTTGAAATTTCCTGGATATGATTGAATAAAAAATTATTTAAAAGATTTGGTGCATTGTAGAGTAACAATGTGGGTATCAGTTAAAAGGGAAAATTTTGCAGAATTTAAGAAAAAAATAATTTTGCTGCACCAGAACGAATAAATGTTGAAAATGTCCTTTTAAAACTTTATCCTTGAATATCCATGGAAATTTTTGTTTAGATATTTTTGAAACAAATATATGTCCAGGACTAATATGTAAACTACCACATCCCCGAATTTCGTCCTTCTAACTTTATTAGTTTTAGATAACAAAATTTTACACTTCTCTTTATAAGATATTGATAGTTCAATACACATAAATGATGATACTAGAATCATTACAATGTACAGCACTCCGCTGGGTATTGGACCAAACCAATTTGTTTTAAGAGATTGAGTCATAGGTAAAAAAGTAATTTCTCCGTTTTTCGAAGTTAACTTCCGAAATCGAGATATGGGCCTTCGAAGTTCGAAATAGGATCTTTGGTAAAAAATTATTTGCTCTTATTTAAATGGTTTATAACTTTTTTTTTTTAAACTTATATTACAAGTGCTATAAGGGGGCAAAGGTCGGGTCTTCGAAAAATTAAAAACCTTATATTTCAAACAATTTTGAACTGATTTTTAAAAAGTTGGTATCGCTGTAAACTTTATTAGACCCCTTTATTCTCTTCTGATATGCATATTTGTATACTTTGTATGTAAAAATTTGAGAAAAAAATTACAATCGATTTTCAAAAAGTTGGTATCGGTGTAAACCCAATCAAACTTTCTTTCTTCTGATATGCGTGTTTGTATACTTCGTATATAAAAATTTGAGAAAATACACTTAAAATAAAAAATACCATGTTTTATAAAAAAACATATACAAAAAAATTACTAGCCGATTTTTAAAAATTTTCTATCGTTGTTAAGGCGATAAAATACCCTTTCTTCTGGTATAAATATTTGAATGCTTCCATCGACGTAGCCAGAATGAAATTTAGGGGAGGGCTCGACACTATTAAGCTGGCATTTCAGGGTACTATTTTATATATATATAAGGAAAATTTGAAAGTTAGGGGGGGGGGGGCTCAAGCACCCCCCTGCCCCTACCTGGCTACGCCCATGAAAGCTTTGTATATAAAAATTGGAGGAACAACAATTCTTCTTCTTCTTTTTTGGCGCTGTAACCGCCTAAGCGATTTTGGCCGAGTTCAGCAAAGCGCGCCAGTCGTTTCTCTTCTGTGCCAACTGACGCCAATTGGAAACGCCAAGTGAAGCCAAGTCCTTCTCCACCTGATCTTTCCATCGCAGTGGGGGCCTCCCTCTTCCTCTGCTACCACCAGCGGGTTCCGAGTTGAATACTTTCAGAGCTGGAGCGTCGGTGTCCATTCGAACGACATGACCAAGCCAGCGGAGCCGCTGTATTTTAATTCGCTGCACTA